GAATTACGAGTCCTGCGCGCTATCCACCAGGCTACCAGGCCCCAGACTGTCTCACTCATCGTCTGAAGGACTACAATACTGAGTGTGTAGATGCTTGAGCTCATGTACTTCTATAGCGTAGTGGACAGCGCAGTCGACTCACAACTGAGTGACCCCAAGTTCGATTCCAGAGAAGTCGGGTACAAAAATTTCAGCACGTTTCCTCACACCTAATACTCCTGTTCACCTACCGGTAAATAGGTCCCCCCGTGAGTTAGGTGACTGTTGTGGGTTGCATGCTAGGGGAAGGTGGGTCGTTGACCTAGGCCTAAGAGACCATGATAGGCCTAACAGCCGTCCCCGTCCACCCGACAATGTGAAACTAAATGTTCTTATTATCATACTAAATGTTACACCCTCCAGAGAAAACAGCCGAGAACGTGTTCAGTGTGGCAGGGGTGTGGCAGGGTGTGGCTGGGGTGTAGCAGGGTGTGACAGGGTGTGGCTGGGGTGTAGCAGGGTGTGACAGGGTGTGACAGGGTGTGGCTGGGGTGTAGCAGGGTGTGACAGGGTGTGGCTGGGGTGTGACAGGGTATGGCTGGGGTGTGACAGGGTGTGACAGGGTGTGGCAGGGTGTGACAGGGTGTGGCTGGGGTGTGACAGGGTGTAGCAGGGTGTGGCAGGGTGTGGCTGGGGTGTAGCAGGGTGTGACAGGGTGTGGCTGGGGTGTAGCAGGGTGTGACAGGGTGTGACAGGGTGTGGCTGGGGTGTAGCAGGGTGTGACAGGGTGTGGCTGGGGTGTGACAGGGTGTGACAGGGTGTGGCTGGGGCGTAGCAGGGTGTGACAGGGTGTGGCTGGGGTGTAGACAGGGTGTGGCTGGGGTGTAGGCAGGGTGTGGCTGGGGTGTGACAGGGTGTGACAGGGTGTGGCAGGGTGTGGCTGGGGTGTAGCAGGGTGTGACAGGGTGTGGCTGGGGTGTAGCAGGGTGTGACAGGGTGTGACAGGGTGTAGCAGGGTGTGACAGGGTGTGGCTGGGGTGTGACAGGGTGTGACAGGGTGTGGCAGGGTGTGACAGGGTGTGGCTGGGGTGTGACAGGGTGTGGCAGGGTGTGACAGGGTGTGGCTGGGGTGTGACAGGGTGTGGCTGGGGTGTGACAGGGTATGGCTGGGGTGTGACAGGGTGTGACAGGGTGTGGCAGGGTGTGACAGGGTGTGGCTGGGGTGTGACAGGGTGTAGCAGGGTGTGGCAGGGTGTGGCTGGGGTGTAGCAGGGTGTGACAGGGTGTGGCTGGGGTGTAGCAGGGTGTGACAGGGTGTGGCTGGGGTGTGACAGGGTGTGGCTGGGGTGTAGCAGGGTGTGACAGGGTGTGGCTGGGGTGTGACAGGGTGTGGCAGGGTGTGACAGGGTGTGACAGGGTGTGGCTGGGGTGTGACAGGGTGTGGCTGGGGTGTGACAGGGTGTGGCTGGGGTGTGACAGGGTATGGCTGGGGTGTGACAGGGTATGGCTGGGGTGTGACAGGGTATGGCTGGGGTGTGACAGGGTGTGACAGGGGTGTAGCTGGGGTGTGGCAGGGTGAGGCTGGTGGTGTGACAGGGTGTGACTGGGGTGTAGCTGGGGTGTGACAGGGTGTGGCTGGGGTGTGAGAGAGTAAGCCACACCCGCTAGTCGGATGGGAAGAAGAGCTGGGTGGTGTACCACACACATGGTCTACACTCAAGCCCACACCTGCCCCCCTCCCCCCCCAGACTAAGGACATCGCAGTCTTGGCTCCGTGGCTAAGCCCCACCGATGATTACCGCTAGGTGAGGACCACCGCCTTGCACAGTCCCTAGCATGGCACACCAGGAGGCAGGTGTGGGGTGGGGACGCTAACATGGTACACCAGGAGGCAGGTGTGGGGTAGGGACGCTAACATGGTACCTGGTTGATACCTGGTTGATGGGGTTCTGGGAGTTCTTCTACTCCCCAAGCCCGGCCCGAGGCCAGGCTCGACTTGTGAGAGTTTGGTCCACCAGGCTGTTGCTTGGAGCGGCCCGCAGGGCCACGTACCCACCACAGCCCGGCTGATCCGGAACTTCTCTTAGAAAACCGTCCAGTTTTCTCTTGAAGATGTCCACGGTTGTTCCGGCAATATTTCTTATGCTCGCTGGGAGGACGTTGAACAACCGCGGACCCCTGATGTTTATACAGTGCTCTCTGATTGTGCCTATGACACCTCTGCTCTTCACAGGTTCAATCTTGCATTTTCTTCCATATCGTTCACTCCAGTACGTTGTTATTTTACTGTGTAGATTTGGGACCTGACCCTCCAGTATTTTCCAGGTGTATATTATTTGGTATCTCTCTCGTCTCCTTTCTAGAGAGTACATTTGGAGAGCTTTGAGACGATCCCAATAATTTAGGTGTTTTATCTCGTCTATGCGTGCCGTATATGTTCTCTGTATTCCCTCTATTTCAGCAATCTCTCCTGCTCTGAAGGGGGAAGTGAGTACTGAGCAGTACTCGAGACGGGACAGCACAAGTGACTTGAAGAGTACAACCATTGTGATGGGATCCCTGGATTTGAAAGTTCTCGTAATCCATCCGATCATTTTTCTGGCTGACGCGATATTTGCTTGGTTATGCTCCCTAAACGTTAGATCGTCGGACATCATTATTCCCAAATCCTTGACATGCTGTTTTCCTACTATGGGAAGATTCGATTGTGTTTTGTACCCTGTATTATGTTTCAGATCCTCATTTTTGCCGTACCTGAGTACCTGAAATTTATCACTGTTAAACATCATGTTATTTTCTGCTGCCCAATCAAAAACTTTGTTGACATCTGCTTGTAGTTTTTCAATGTCTTCAGCAGAGGTAATTTTCATGCTGATTTTTGTACAACAGAAGGCAGGTGTGGGGTGGGGACTAATGGTACACCAGGAGGCAGGTGTGTGGTGGAGACTTAACATGGTACGCCAGGAGGCAGGTGTGGAGTGGAGACTAACATGGAACACCAGGAGGCAGGTGTGGGGTGGAGACTAACATGGTACACCAGGAGGCAGGTGTGGAGTGGAGACTAACATGGTGCACCAGGAGGCAGGTGTGGGGTGGAGACTAACATGGAACACCAGGAGGCAGGTGTGGGGTGGAGACTAACATGGTACACCAGGAGGCAGGTGTGGAGTGGAGACTAACATGGTGCACCAGGAGGCAGGTGTGGGGGGTGTGGGAACGTCGGCTCTGGAACACACCTGGAAAGACCGTGAATATGTAACGAAACTCCGGTACGAGCTCAGTAATAATACATCCTTGCCCGCACACTCGGAAGAATTTTAAGAAAGTGTAGCAGTGATCAGACGGGGCATAGTGTGGAGGGCTGCCACGGCCCCACCACACTATGGCTGGTCATGGTGCCCAACATAGTGTGGAGGGCTGCCACGGCCCCACCACACTATGGCTGGTCATGGTGTCTAACATAGTGTGGAGGGCTGCCACGGCCCCACCACACTATGGCTGGTCATGGTGTCTAACATAGTGTGGAGGGCTGCCACGGCCCCACCACACTATGGCTGGTCATGGTGTCTAACATAGTGTGGAGGGCTGCCACGGCCCCACCACACTATGGCTGGTCATGGTGTCTAACATAGTGTGGAGGGCTGCCTCGGCCCCACCACACTATGGCTGGTCATGGTGTCTAACATAGTGTGGAGGGCTGCCACGGCCCCACCACACTATGGCTGGTCATGGTGTCTAACATAGTGTGGAGGGCTGCCACGGCCCCACCACACAATGGTTGGTCATGGTGCCCAACATAGTGTGGAGGGCAGACTCCGTCCCCACCACACAATGGTTGGTCATGGTGCCCAACATAGTGGCCCAACCTGGCAAAAGTGTATATTACAAATATAAATGTGTCAACCCACACAGAGGAAAGTGACACAAAAGTGTTGACCAGACCACACACTAGAAGGTGAAGGGACGACGACGTTTCGGTCCGTCCTGGACCATTCTCAAGTCGATTGAGAATGGTCCTAAGAATGGAGAATGAACTTGAGAATGGTCCAGGACGGACCGAAACGTCGTCGTCCCTTCACCTTCTAGTGTGTGATCTGGTCAACATTCTTCAGCCACGTTATTGTGACTCATCGCCTGCATGTGACACGAAAGTTTTGGTCAGGTCTGAAATCTTATCAAATCGTGACAAGGACTTACTAAAGGTTTAAGACGTCGTAAGGGTCTAGGATTTTGATTGTTGCCACCGGAGGCGGCTAGTTTATTGTGCACCCCATACTCATCCTGTGAGCGGTAGCGCAAAAGCATTACAGAGGGCACAAAAGGTCTTTATCAGACCTCATCTTAGATTATTACATAAACAATTCCATCTATCCTTCACACTTTATAGTTACATGTCAGCTAGTTACAGAGAACGTTCTATTTCAAGAGCTATATATTTACAGTAAGTCATTATACATTAATGGTAGGTCTTATCGCTAATTCATAATTGTTTGAGCAATGAAGATATTACAGTCATCGACTTGATATAGGTCCTGGACTTGATAAAGGTCAGACTTGATATAGGTCCTGGACTTGATAAAGGTCTGAGACTTGATATAGGTCCTGGACTTGATAAAGGTCTGAGACTTGATATAGGTCCTGGACTTGATATAGGTCCTGGACATGATAAAGGTCTGAGACGTGATATAGGTCCTGGACTTGATATAGGTCCTGGACTTGATATAGGTTGAGGACTTGATAAGGTGCGAGGATTTGATATAGGTCGAGCACATAAAGATCCGGGACCTGATAAAGGTCCGAGACCTGATTAAAGGTCCGAGACCTGATAAGGGGGATCCAGGACGGAGCCTAGTATTGTCACTTTCATACGAGTTTGGTTCTTCTTCACATAATTATAAGAGGCGCCGATCAACAAGTCTGGATAATGAGACGTCGTGGATTTAGCTTAAAACTCATTGGGCTCCCAAATTTATATATATGACATCAAGATAATTTATGAGAGTAACATTTTAGTCTAGGATATGAGGACGGAGAGAAGGAACGGTTACCCAACCCCCTCGGACTCTCGGGGATTGAACACCGGCCTGCAAGAATCGAGACCGTCGCTGGTACAGCGAGAACAAGCTAGTGTGTCAGGCGAGGACAAGCGAAGCTGTCAGTGGAGAACAAGCTAGTGTGTCAGACGAGGACAAGCGAAGCTGTCAGTGGAGAACAAGCTAGTGTGTCAGACGAGGACAAGCGAAGCTGTCAGTGGAGAACAAGCTAGTGTGTCAGGCGAGGACAAGCGAAGCTGTCAGTGGAGAACAAGCTAGTGTGTCAGACGAGGACAAGCGAAGCTGTCAGTGGAGAACAAGCTAGTGTGTCAGGCGAGGACAAGCGAAGCTGTCAGTGGAGAACAAGCTAGTGTGTCAGACGAGGACAAGTGAAGCTGTCAGCGGAGAACAAGCTAGTGTGTCAGACGAGGACAAGTGAAGCTGTCAGCGGAGAACAAGCTAGTGTGTCAGACGAGGACAAGTGAAGCTGTCAGTGGAGAACAAGCTAGTGTGTCAGACGAGGACAAGCGAAGCTGTCAGTGGAGAACAAGCTAGTGTGTCAGACGAGGACAAGCGAAGCTGTCAGTGGAGAACAAGCTAGTGTGTCAGGCGAGGACAAGCGAAGCTGTCAGCGGAGAACAAGCTAGTGTGTCAGACGAGGACAAGCGAAGCTGTCAGCGGAGAACAAGCTAGTGTGTCAGACGAGGACAAGTGAAGCTGTCAGTGGAGAACAAGCTAGTGTGTCAGGCGAGGACAAGCGAAGCTGTCAGTGGAGAACAAGCTAGTGTGTCAGACGAGGACAAGCGAAGCTGTCAGCGGAGAACAAGCTAGTGTGTCAGACGAGGACAAGTGAAGCTGTCAGTGGAGAACAAGCTAGTGTGTCAGGCGAGGACAAGCGAAGCTGTCAGCGGAGAACAAGCTAGTGTGTCAGACGAGGACAAGCGAAGCTGTCAGTGGAGAACAAGCTAGTGTGTCAGGCGAGGACAAGCGAAGCTGTCAGTGGAGAACAAGCTAGTGTGTCAGGCGAGGACAAATGGGTTCGTGAGAGGACAATGAAGCCGGTGTAAGAGGGAATGGCAGCCTCCTCACCGAGTAAGTATTGACTCAAATGACTTTATGGGCAGTTGGGCCTCGGTGAGTGCTGCCTCTGGTGCCCTCAGGAGTCTTGCTCAGCCCTCAGGAGTCTTGCTCAGCCCTCAGGAGTCTTACTCAGCCCTCAGGAGTCTTGCTCAGCCCTCAGGAGTCTTACTCAGCCCTCAGGAGTCTTACTCAGCCCTCAGGAGTCTTGCTCAGCCCTCAGGAGTCTTACTCAGCCCACAGGAGTCTTGCTCAGCCCTCAGGAGTCTTACTCAGCCCTCAGGAGTCTTACTCAGCCCTCAGGAGTCTTACTCAGCCCTCAGGAGTCTTGCTCAGCCCTCAGGAGTCTTACTCAGCCCACAGGAGTCTTGCTCAGCCCTCAGGAGTCTTACTCAGCCCTCAGGAGTCTTACTCAGCCCTCCACCAACCTGAAGGGCTCCGTCTATGTTCCCTTCTTACACACACACTTGTTCTTACATAGTAATTGTTGCCAGGATTAAGCTCTTGGCTCCAGACTTATGTAACTGTCGTTCGTCTGCTGACTCGGAGTTAGGTTCTACAACCTTTCCAACTAGAGTATACCACTGACTCATTTCCCGTTCGTCGAAAATTTATTTAAAACCTACGACCACAGTTACTCAACAATATTAATTCAAAGTTGTAAAGGAAAAGTTCAAATATTA